CTGATATAAATAACATTTCTAATGGGAAATTTCCATTAATGTTTGACAAGTTATTCCTCTAGGAGGTTTCTTCAACAACTGGCATTCTCACAGTGCAAAACATTTTGACTATCTCTAACATTCACTTTCAAGGAATAAACACATCATACAGTCTGAAGCTTAAGCAAGTGGCTACCATTAAAGAATTATCACATAAAAGGGTTTAGGAAAACAAGACTCCAGTCTGCAGTTTACAAACTGACAATTCTACTACAAGCCATCTAATGTCAGGTGTAGTGGTTCATGCCTTTCAAGTGTAGCACTTTCAAGATGGAGATCAGGAGTTCAAAGTCAGTCTCACACACAAAAAACAGTTTTGTTAACCACAACAATTACCAGATAAACAAAATTTGGTATACAATTCTCTATAAAGAATAAAGCTTTCTAGAAGAAAAAGAAGCAGAACCTATAAGAAAAGAACCTATAAGGATAACTACTTACAGAAATATTCCTGGAATCTTCTAAAACACACTGCAAACTGGGGTAAAAATGACCTCTCAGTTTGGTAAAGAAAAAGAAATGGTTGAGTGCTATCACCACAGTAGGTAAGATTTACACCAAACATGTGTGTGACCACTCACCTAGGTTCTTTGCTTATCCTTTCTTAATCTCCAACAGAGTTCATTTTTATTTATAGCATAGAACTGAAGGTTTAAAAACTGGGATGACAGGAAGAGCTGGGATTTTTATTCAGTGGTAGAGCACTTGCCTGGCATGTGCAAGGCCCTTAGTTCCATCCCTAGCAAAAAAGCAACAAAAAATAAATGTTTTCCATGCATTCAGCTTTAAAAATCACATTTACTCCAGTCAACTCCAGTGGGGCAGAAATAATTACCATCATCACAATGGGCAGTAAGGGGTCTAAAGTAGCAGCCAACACCGTCCATGGCTTAATGGAATCTCCTTCCTTGGAATTTTTTTTTAATTTTATTTATTATTTTTATTTTATGTGTATGAGTGTATTGTCTGCACCATGTTGTGCAATGCCAGCAGAGATCAGAAGAGGGCTTCCCCTGGAACTGGAGTTTAGGACAGTTTGTAGCTGCCATGTGGGTGCTGGGATTCGAACCTAGGTCTTCTGCAAGAACAACCAGTGTTCTTAACCACTTAGCCATCTCTCCAGATCTAAGACATCTGGTTTCTTTTTTTAATTTTATTTATTATTTTTATTTTATGTGTATGAGTGTATTGTCTGCACCATGTTGTGCAATGCCAGCAGAGATCAGAAGAGGGCTTCCCCTGGAACTGGAGTTTAGGACAGTTTGTAGCTGCCATGTGGGTGTTGGGAATCAAACCCAGGTCTTCCACAAGAGCAGTCAGTGCTCTCATCCACTGAGCTACCTCTCCAGCCCCACCCCCCGGAAATTATTAATAATGAAATTGTTTAGGTTGGCATTCTCCCCCAGACTTTCAGAAGTTGGCTAAGCAAACGAAGTACTCTGCTACTTCAGAATTCTGTGGGGGGAAAAATGGGAAAATGATAATAATTAATCTTTGGCTCTGCTTCAATGCCTTACTAGTGAAAAAGCCATGTTGAAATGCATACACATAAAAGCTCCTAGTTTTTATCTTAGAATTTGGTAAAAATGACACAAACTTTCATAGATGCTCACTATTATATCCCCAGTTTCCAAAATAGGGTCCTGACATTTATTTAGTGAGACATCCAAAAATGTATCTTTAATATATATGCAATCTCATTATAACACAAAAATTCTTCCAAACTAAAATGCCTGCTTTGTCCAAGCACAAGTTCCATTTTCTTGGGCAACTAGGGAGTTTGGGCCAGTCTGGGCAACTTGGTAACTCCTGTCCCTTAAAAACAAAATTAGATGCTTTGAATAAAAAATGAATTCTTACTGATACGCAAAGAAGAAAAGAAGTATCCACCTCAACATTTATTTTGATTTTTTTTTTTGAGACAGGGTCTCACTATGTGGCTTTGGCTGGCCTCAAACTCAAGAGATCCTCTGGAGTGATATAAATCGAAAGGCTGGTACTCGCAAAGCTGAGCAGAAACACTGGCTCTTTCAGAAGATGTAAATCAAGTAGAAGCCTCATCTTGACCTCTGGCATCCACGTCATACTTAATTCCTTCCTTAACTTCAAGGATGAGCAACCTTTAAGGTCTCAGTTTCTCCATCTGTTTATAAAGAAGTAGACAGGGATAGATCTAGCTAGCACTGAAATACAATTGTCTTTTAAAAACAGAAATCCTCTAGGCATGTATTTTTAATCACCAAATACAGTTATCTTCAAAAATGTAGCTCCTGGAAAGGAACAGGTTTAAAAATGACTTGTGTTAATGCAGGCTTAAAAGAAAATTTTTCTAGATGCTCTGTTCACCCAAAACAGGACAGTTCATTACAACACCCAACTCTCAACTGAATTCTCATTAACTCCATTTCCCAAATGCACCAAACTTCCCGTATTATCCAAAGAATGGCATAAGATAGAACAGAGTAAGTCAGGTTCCAGGCTGGGAACTCTCTTGTTAACTATATGGTTGTTATAATCACCTAAGGAGTATCATTGAGGGGATGGTTCATACTATGGATGATAGGAAACGAACCCAGGGTCTTCTTCAACCCACAGCAAGTGCAAGTCTGAGACTGATTTCGTATTGATGGGCAATTCGTAATGTTTATGGTAAATGCAAATTACAACCAAGCTACCAAATCAAGCATCAACTAATAAACTAAACATTCTCAAATAATAATGGAGAAAAGGTAGTGAAAAACTAAGAGCCAAGACCAGTGTATTTTTACAGTATAGGGCACTGAGAGTCTACAAGAAAAATAGATTTGGAGTTTAGAGAAAACATTAGGATTTATTTAAATAAACATTATAGAAATTCTTCCGATAGGTGTTTTTTTAATTTTTTTTTATTTGTTGAGGCAGGGTCTCACTGTTGTAGGTCTGGCTGGCCTGGAACTCATTATGTAGAGCAGGCTGTCCTAGAACTCACAAAGATCCAACTGCCTCTGCCTCCTGAGTTCTGGGACTAAAGGCATGCCGCACCATGCCCAGCTTCCCATAGGTCTTAAGCTTGGTACCTTAATATTACATGTTTTAGGAACTCAACATAACCATAGGATTATTAATATTAGTAATTAAATATTAAAACTGCCGAGAACAAGAGAACAGAGATGAAGCGACCTGATCTCTAAGAGTACACAAAGGACCAAAAACTACATAAAACAGGAAAGTTAACTCCTTAAAGCAGCTTTGTTCTGTAATCACTTCCAATGCTCTTGGTCCATATTTAAAGAACACACCTAACCTCACCTCTTAAATTTCTAGATGGGAAACAAACTCCTTTTCTCAATCAAATTCATGTCTTAGGCCCTCAATATTGTGTACAAAATATCTAACTTACGCCATTTCAAAAAGGTTGTTCTAGAAAACCATTAAGCTATTTTTAATTATAGACAATCACAAGAACTAATAAAATTTTTCCACTTACTGTTAAGAGGAGAAATATATAAAGGGAGCCAAACTACTATTGAAATGATTAATGGTAAATTCAAGTTGTGAAAATAAAATGGAGGTTCATAAAAAATAATCACAGCCCTGCTAGACATTACCATAAAAATTATCTCCTAAGAATCCAGCCTACAAGAAACATAGGAAGTTCCTTCAGCATAGAGCTCAACAGGCAGATTCTTTATTTCTCTTTTCCTTCAGAGTTCACATTACCCTTATAGCTCAGTTTACAAGATGTAATACGATCAGGTACACTGTGTGATCGGATTGATCTGGAAAGCTGCCTTTCGTACATAGACCTGAAAAAAGCTTACTTCCTATGTTCCAGGAGCCATACTTACAATCAGTAGTTTTTATAAGTTTACTTTGTATGTTTCTTGTGTGATCAGAGACACTGCAGGATCAGCCCTGCTGTGGGGAGCAACACCAAAAGTGTACTGTATGTGCAAAATCCTATAGTGAGACCTTGGTCTTCAGGTTACAACCTCCCTAAAGCTTCAGAATGACCTCCAGCCTTCAGTGAACTTCCAAGAACCTTACCTGCCAGCTAATACAAATACAAAGGAGCAGCTTATTTTATCAACAAAGATGACACCAAGTAGCAAGAAACTATAACCTAACTGGGCTGCTTGGGTGGCAAAGAAATGAAAGAGGCAGGAGTGGGAGAGGTAGGAGGGGTGTGGGACTCCTACCAGTAGTGGTAGTAGTTAATCTTCATTCACAATTTGACTGGACTTTACTTAGCACTTCCAGAGGTATAACTGAAGGAAGACCCACCCTGAATGTAGACCCACCATCTCATGAGCTGTGGTTCTGGACTAAACAGAAAGGAGGAAGAAGCCAGCTAATCAGCCTTCATCTCTGCTGCCTGACTGTGGATGCAACTGCTGCATAGCCCTGCTCTTAGCACCACACTTTCCATGATAGGCTATATACTCTCATACTGGGAGCCAAGATAAACCCTTCCCTTTGGGGGGGGGGCTCTTTTGGAGAGAGTATCCCAACTGGCCTGGAACTTGCTATGTAGACCAGGCTGGCCTTGATCTTAGAGATCCACCTGCCTTTGCCCCCCCCTCCATGGAGTGCTGGGATTAAAGGTGTGTACCACCACACCCAGACAAACCCTTTCTTATTTAGGTTGCATTTGTCCAAGTATTTTGTCATAGCAACAAGGAAAGTAACTGAACCTAGAGAGAAACCAGACTAATTTCTTTAGTTCCCTAAGTCACCTTAAAGGAAATTTAACTGTGTTTGTTTTCAGTTTCTAGTAAGCTCATACATTAGTTCTTTAGTTTCGGCACTCCAACTGGATCTATCAGTAGCATTTCCTGCTCATTCATTCGACAGCCTCCTTATAAAACATTCTTCTCATCCATGTTCCTCACTTATTCTCTGCTAATATTTTCTGTCCTTATGCACACAGGTAAAGACAAATTAAAATGGACTAAGGAAAAAAAGAGAGAGAGGAGGCCTGAAAAAGTAACACATTTATTTGTATCTTCCCAGTCAAGAAAAACATTCCGGGAAAGCAGGCATGAGAACTGCCAAAGACACTGCCTCTGCAGCTTGGCTGCTTCATGAGTAACCAGAGTACATCCATTCTTCCCTCAAGTCAACATCAATGGATGGCGAGTTTTCCAAAGTTGTCTCTGCGGACCCAGGCCTTTTCCAGGAGGCAGTTTCATCTCATGTAGCACCACTACATCTAGTGAAGGCCATTTGGGAAAAGTGGGTAAGGAACAGTGATAAAGGACAGCATTATATCTTCAGGAAATTCCAAGTCTTTCCATGCTTTCAGGTACAAGAGAGTTTGCTGTGGTCATTACATTCAGTAGAGACTTAGTGGAAAAGGTAATATTATGAAGAATGAAGCTCTAGACCAGTTAAAATAACCTTCAGACTGAGCATCTTTCGAATCGCCCATAAACAGCCTGTTTCCTAGGAGCAACAAAAATGGGAAGTTGTTTACGGAGCAAAAGTCACTTCGAACTTTTAATAAAACTTGCAATAGAAATATTTATTTCAGTACAGGCTGCAACAACAAATTCAGAACTCTTACCCACAAAAATATGTATGACGCTTAAATAATGCAAATTTGAGTACCTAAAACACATACCCTAGTGCTGACTAACTTTTACAGAAAATATTTGGGCCGGGCATGATGGCGCACACCTTTAATTTCAGCACTCGGGAGGCAGAGGCAGGCGGATGTCTGTGAGTTCAAGGTCAGCTGGGGCTACAGGGAAGCCTGGTTCAAAAAGACCAAAAAATAACAACAAAAAACCCTGAATCAAAAATTGTTTTGCCTCACATTAAAGAGAAAATATTTGAGGCACTAGGCTGTGCTATTTTAGATGATTTCTCTTTTGTTTTCAAATTTTAATGACTGTCAGAATATAAAAAATATTGGGACATGAAGCTCACTTTTCAACTGCTTTGTGACTTGTCGTTTTTGTAACCTGTTGATGTATAGGAGACAACTGACCAAAAGCCAAAACGTAAAATCCCCAAGACTCAATTTCCTTTTAAGTAATACGATAAAATTGTCAAAAATGAGTGCTTGTCCTTTAACTTTCCAAGACAAGTAAAATTTGTAACACTGCAAATATACAAAAAGGTAAGTGGAGCTGGAGAGACAGCTTAGTATTTAAGAGTCCTTCTTCTTCCAGAGGAACAGATTTTGGTTTTCCACACCCACACTGGGTGGCTCATTACCACTTTTAACTCAAGCTCCAGGTGATCCAATGCCTTCTTCTGGTCTCCATGGGTACCCACATGCACATGATATACATTCACACAAACACACAAAAAAATAAGGTACGAACAGGATAAATATTTTTAAATCCAAATTCTTGGCTCATAACTACCTCTGCATTTAAGTCTTGGGTAGTTTCAAATGAATTTTACAACAGCCACAATCCCTAGAGACGTATTTTTAGAAAACTTCCTTGAACTGAGGAAGAACTGTCTCAGATTTGGAGCCTAAAGGAGACATGACTAAAAACACTGTGGGATCCTGGATAGGATTCTGAAACAGAATCCAAGTGGAAAAACCTGTGCAATCTGAATAGTCTGGGGGTTAGTTAGTACTTTGGTACCAATGTTAATTTCCTGGTCATGATAAGTGCTTATGCTTATGCAATGGTTAACTGAGTAAGTTGGGCCAAGGGTACATACATGGAAGCCGTCCACTATTTCTACAACACTTCTGCAAATGTAAAATCAATTCCACAAGCAATCTTAAAACCCAAACACTCTGAGGAAGAACACTCTAGAGGTAGAGGCTGGAGAACACTGCACATTCAATGTCAGCTTTGGCTACACAGGGGAGTTCCAAGGGCTACTTAGCGAGACCCTGTCTCAAAAACAACCTAAATCTCCAAGTGCTCACTGCAGTGCACGAATGAAAGAGCCCCACTAGATGGCACTATTTTCTTCAGTGACCAAACACCTCTTCACATATGCACATCCATCACCTACTGGAAATTTTTTTCACTAGCCTATTCTGGAGACATAAAATGGGCATTTTTCATTATACAATAAAATCCCTCAGCACACATACACATTTATAATTTAAGAGTGATAAGTCCCCGAAAATCCTAAACAATGAGGGAAAAATGGAAAAAATAAACTCACAATTGAACCAATCATTTCCTGAGTTTAGCTTTGTTTGTTACATTTTTTGAGAAAAAAAAATCACAAATGACATCAAACAGTGATCAGCTTACCCCACCCTCTCAAGTAAGTGTTGGAGTGTGCCACCATGCCTGGTGATAAATCTATATTTAATGTAGGTTCATGATCTTATTTCTTTGAATGAACTGAAGTACCTACTATTACAACAATGTGGTCTCCTTAGGAATAGAGACAAGACACCAGTCAAAACTCAATTATCAATAAAAAGTAAAACATGCTATGAGGAAAAAAAAACAGTAAATTCCCTTAACTAACCTAGAATCAAGTAGAATTAGGAAGTAAGAATTTCAAGGAAAATGATTAACATTCAAAAATATTTTTAGAAGGATTTAAAAAGTTTTCTCATTAACACTCTAATCACTCAAATTTCCATCAGATTATCCTATCTTTACTCATTTTTACCATTATGTTTGCTCTAAATGTTATGAACTTTGATCTTAAAACAGTCTCTATATTTGTGAAAAAGATGGTGAGTTCTTATATTTTATATCATGTTAAGAAAAGGGCAAGGTGGCACATGCCCTGAGTCCCAGCACTTGGGAAACAGACAGAGCCAGAGGGATGGAGGCCAGCCTGGTCTACAAAACCAATTCTAGGTCAGTCCAGACCCTATCTATCTAAAAATAACTAAACTAAATAAATGAAAATAGTAACCAAAGTAGATACATTCAAACAAACCTTTTCTGTTAAAAGCTCATAAGACATACCACCAACCTCGTTTTAATCAGTTACACCTTTCGTGTCTTCTTTGTGCACAGGCAAGTCCATCTGTCAAAAAATCCCCCCAAAGCATGTGGACCAAAGAACCACCCTCCTAAGAATTTCAAAGGAGACAGATTTGTGGAGGGGGAAAGAATTACTCCCAGTTGTCCCAAAGGGAATCCTTTCTTATGACCAATAATTCACCTGCCTTTCGTACAAAACCAACTTTGAAATAGCTCTCCTTCTACTTATAGCCCTTCTAAATTCATAATTGTTACTCATTATGAGTTCACTGGCATTAGTCAGCTCAAGCTGGTTAGTCACCAGTTTTTAAGCTACCAACCACCCCTCCCCTTTCTCGGTTTCCTTTCCCTTCAGTATTTTGCAGCATTTGAGAGGATGAGTAAGAATCAAGAATTCCCAAGAAATGCTTCTGGGCTTCTCTTGTCTGTGGTCTAAACGAACTGTTTCTCGTTAATGAAAGGAGTGCAAGTCTTCATGGTCACACTGCTTCTCCATAAAAACAGGATGCATGGGTCTGAGGGAATAAACTGCAGATTCAAGAGTTTACTTTATATGTTTTGTTTGGCCACTGTTTCAACTAATATTTGATAAAGCTTGCAAAATTAAAATGTTTGATCACTTTCTTCACCTAAGTACATGGGTACCACTTTTTTTGATGAGGAAAAAAAATGTCCATTCTAGATGTCTGTCAGTCACAACTGAAGAATGGAAAATGACCCAAGATATGGACCTTTCTGTTTTGTTTTGTTTTTTCACATAAATTAACCCATTTATTGTGGGCCAGGGATGTCCCAAACAGCAGTGCTTCTACTGGTCTTTCAGTTCCTTCAGTCTTCTGATGCCACAGAAGGAACAAGTATACTTGGCGTGCTGGCTGATTTCAATTTTCTTCACCATTTTCCGGAGGGCGGCTCCATAGCGGGTCCCGTATTTACCCACGATCCTGACCTTCTTGGTGTGTTTAGCCATGTCGCCGTGACCTAGGCCCAAGCCTGGAGAGGAAGTGGACCTTTCTGTTTTTTAATATTATTTATTATTTTTATATGTATGGACAGAAGAGGGCATCGGGTCCACTGAACTGGAGTTATGGACAGTTGTTAGCTACCATGCAGATGCTGGGAATTAAACCTTGGTCCTCTGGAACAACAGCAAGTATTCTTAACCACTGAACCACTCTCCAGCCTGATACGGCTCTTTCTGAACATCAAATTATATCAATAAAGTCCTACAAGTCAGTTCCATCTTAGCTTTTCAGCTGTGAAGACTTCCCAAATCTGGCATCACCATTTCCTGTCTGCTCCACTCAGACTCTAACCCACCTCATCTTTAGGCAGGATGTCAAAGAGCCCCAGAGCAAGCTTTTCCCTATGCACACCTGAAGTTATTTTTCACCATTCGCACAGTGTGGCACAGCAGAGGAGTGACAGTTAAAACAAATGACACAATTATACGTCTCCAGTGAAAGCAGCAATAAATAAAAAGCACCATTTGGCAGGGCCTCGATTTCCTAATATTCATAATACTAAGCTAATCTGCTATTCCAAAGAGACTACTTTAATTTCACATAGACAAATGCCACCATGCAATTATCAACTGGACTTTAGGAAAATGCTATATCGACTTAAGGAAGGGTTTCTGCACATTATGAAATACTGTGACAAGGCAGTTTCTCCTTACATTTAAATTTTTTTTCTAAAATTTACTTTTATTTGATGCATGAATGTTTCTGTCTGCATGTATATAAGTATACCCATGTTGTGCAAATGCCCATGGAGACCAGAAATGGATGCTGGATCTCCTGGAACTGGAGTTATGGATGGTTGCCAGCCACTATATGGGTGTTGGGAACCCAAGCTCTGGCCTTCTGATAGAATAGCGACTGCTCTTAACTGTAGAGCCATCCCTCTAGTCCCTCTCCTTATGTCTCTTAACAAAAAGAAAACACACAAAATGACAAAATCTAGGAGTCCCTTTTAAGCTAGCCCTTTGCCTTTGAATCTTAAAAACCATTCTTCAACTAACTGCTAGACTTTCTCCTGGGGCCACAGCCAAAATATGGGTCAGGAGTGGCAAGATAATGAGGGGACTATTTAACAGCTTGATTTTGTGACAAGAGGGGAAAGGTGAGGGACTGGGGAGGTGGCTCACTGGGTAGAGTGCTGGCAGCGCCAGCAGCTTCAGACCCCAGAACATGTAAAGCTGGACACAGTAGCGTGTGCCTATAATGCCAATACTCCTGCAGAGAGTACTCTCCAGAAGCTCACAGACAGCTAGCCCAGGTTTTCAAGTGCACACAAGAGACCCTGTCTCAAACCACATGGAAATCAAGGACACCAAGGTTGTCCTCTGACCTCCACATGGGTACAGTGGCACACACGCACCTGCACTCAAACAGGAACATGTACACACACACACACACAAACACACACACACACACAAATATATATACACAGACACCTCCACAAGAAAAAGGAAAGTTTGCTTTTGTACAAGCTGACAAAATGTTAAATATAGCA